ACCACTCGTCCCCAAAGGAGGGCACAGAGAAAACACCCCAATGTATGAAAATACCGATCTTTGCCTCGTCATACCAGCCCGGAATGGGACGCTTGTCTATGGAGGCCCACGTGGGGTCATATCGGGCGCCGGGTTTCGTAGCATTGGGTGCACTCAATACGTGGACCACTAGTAGTGAAAACAGACAAATCAATTGAGTTATTGAAGTCATGGCTATCTTTACCATTGACTTACTACAAGTCAAAAGTAGTTCAAAATTTCCAGTGCTTTTATAGTATTTTGTTAAATATTTGATATCTTTATAATTGTGCTAGAATAGATTACCGATACAAATCATCTATTAACAATTTGATAAAAGACATATCGTTGACTATTTTTTGTTGTTTAGTACACTTTTAAGGGCAGTTACAGTATGGTTATAGTATAATGTTTAGTAATACAGTATTTCAAAAACAAACCTGTTGAAAAATGTTTTCTAGAGCTCAGTTTATGGGAATTATTTAGCAGTTGAAAACGTTGCGAATTATTAGATAATTTTTATCAAATAATTTTAAGTATAATACAGTATATGACTGTATATATCCGATATATACTGATATATCCGCAAAGTTTTAAAAGATTACGCTTGTAAAATGTGTAGTACCTAGCAATTTTTGCTATATGTATAAAACTACATTAACACTAAAAACCAAGTTGATACGAAAAATTTTACAATATACAATCTATAATATAGATATTAATATATTGCTTAATGTTTAAATAATCTTAAGCATTTATTTAATGAAATTGAAAATATATTAAATCTAAAATTAATAATTAGACACAAAACTCAAGTGTGTATTAATACTATTAAGTGTCTCCACTTTTGAGGTATTAATTGATAAATGATAATGGTACATTATGTATACTGTATACTTGTTTTTATTAGAAAGCCCTCAAATTAACATGATAATTATTAGGAACATTGGGATTGTTAGTGCAATTTAACTGAAACTAAACTTTAAAACAAATTCTGTGTCGGACTGATATTTAACAATAACAGCAACAACTGATTCATTAAATAATAAAAATTATTATATTATAAAAAAGGTATAAATTTTTGAAAAAACAAAACAAATTCTCCGGATTACTTTGACAAATACAGTATATTGAATAAAATATACAGTATTGATATAAAACCTTATAAAAGATTGCACATACTCTGTATTTTTAGTTGACTATTGTAATAATATTTTATATATTTTTAATTATAGTTTTTATTGCACATTTTAATTATATTTATTTTAACATAGAATGGTTTATTAACAAACAATTTATTAAATTTTGATTAATTGAAACATTTATTTTGTATTAATTTTCAAAACAAATGCCGTTTTAAGACTATCATAAGCTATGTGAGGGAAGGTAACAATAGTATGGTCACCACCACCTGCCCGGTGGTTGAGGTTGCCGTCCACTCCCAACATTTGGATGTTATTAACCGAGTTGTGTGCAACTGATCCCAACTCCACCTCATTATTGTTGGGCCAAAACAATACCGTCGCGTAAACAGCTTTGTCTTTATGTGTATACCTATTGGCAAATTAGATGTTATCATAAAATTTTAAAAAGTTTTTATATCAATACAAACCAAACGCCTTTAGTTGTCGTATCGTTTTGATGAGTCCAGGGATGGCTGCTATATATGGCTTCGCCATTCACTCTGAGCCAATCTCCCAGTCCTCGTAGCCGTTCCTCGAAAACGGGAATAATGGTGCCCTCCTTTGTGGGCCCGATATTGAACATCATGTTTCCCCCACAACTGGACACATAATAAGTAAGTTTTCATTAATATTTTTAAATATATTTTTATGAGATTTTAATTTATATTATGCTTAATGTTTATTATGATATCAGATTACGAACAATATAAGAATTATTTAAATACTTACAATACTTTATATTATATAATTTATCTATTACATTTATTAGCGCACAATGCATATATTCAACTTAAAAGTTACCTAATGGCCATGATCATTTCTGTGATCATTTCCAATGGTTTTAAATAAGCATCTATATGGAGATTACGTACGTAACCCCACGAGCCGGTAAGCGATCTGATATGTTCCCATTTGTGTGGCACTAAAACACCAGGGTTAAATCTGTCATTAAAATTATAGAAGTCTCCATGATGTCCATCGGAGCCCTCGCCTATAATAAAATTAAAATTATACTCAAATAAAACTATTAGTGAAATACAGACCCCATCTGTCATTCACAACAACAGTATCCTTAACGGGACTAAAAGCGCAACAAAATTAAATAAATAACTCATTTTAGTATCTCTTAGGGGGTCTACCTATCGGTGTAAAGCCAGGCCAAGAACTCCTCACTCTTCCAGTACTTGGGATCTCCGCCTCCATTACCGTCCGACCAGATTATATCCGGCTTATAGTTGTTCACTAATTCACGCAACTCTGGCTGTATTTTTTGCTAAATTGTGACCAAAGATTAGTTCTCTAAGTGTTATAAATTAGTGATCATATCTCACGTCAACAAATAATTGTGTTTTGTGTCCACTGTCCGCGTCCTTAATGAACAGTGGGTTAAACCACTCCATCAGTGAGTGATAGGTACCGAACTTAAGTCCCGCCCCTTTCACAGCCTTTTGTAAGTCACCTCAAGATATCAATTAAAGTCAGTATTTGTTTGTTTTGTAAATTGAATATTTAACTAAACATGAAACTGCTGCTTAAATCATAATAAATTAAATAATAATTTAATACAGTATATCAAATACAACAGAAAGAATAGGTGGTATTTGCTTGAACAAATCCAAAATAAGCCATTTGCTACTTTATTTTAAATTATGTCATATATATGAGGCCATACCGAGTAAGTCCCGTTTGGGTCCGACCTCCATGGCATTCCATTTGGGCGAGTACTTCGAGGGGTACATTGTGTAGCCCTCGTGGTGTTTGGTAGTCATCACCACATATTTAGCACCCGATGCCCTTCAATATGTCAAATGTTATTTGTCTACATAATGAACAAAAAGTTGCAATTACTTGAAGACATCCGCCCAATGGTTTGGTTCAAAGAATTCAGCCGTGAACAGAGGGGCAAAGTCCTCGTACTTAAAGTTGGCAGGGTAGTTTTTGCTCATGAAATCTTCGAAGTCCTTCCTTTTTTTCAGTTTTCCAACGCTCCCTTCAAAAAATATATACATTTTTTAAACAATGAAATTCGTGATTAGATTTAAAATACACACCAAAACCACTCGTCCCCGAAAGAGGGCACAGAGAAAAGACCCCAATGTAGGAAAATACCCACTTTTGCCTCGTCATACCAGTCCGGAATGGGACGCTTGTCTATGGAGGCCCACGTGGGGTCATATCGGGCACCGGGTTTCGTAGCATTGGGTGCACTCAATACGTGGACCACTAGTAGTGAAAACAAACAAATCAATTGAGTTATTGAAGTCATGACTGAATTTGAACTTAACTTCAAATCAAAAGCAGATCACAATTTACAGTTACTTTTATAGTTATTCTGTTATATTTTGGTTATCAGTATTATAAGGGTGTCCCAGTGTTTATTGATCTTTGTAAATGGCATACCTCTTAGATTTATTTTTGTAAGTTATAGTTCACGTTTAGATTATGTCTAATGTCCATAACAATTAATGAACAATGGTATCAAGCAATTTTCAGTAAGAATATAATCAATATAAACATCAAGAGCATTTGGATTGTTAGTACAGTTTATAGAATTATATTTTGTGAAATATTGGATAAATGTGTGCTAAAATAGATACAGATACAAATCACCTTTTAACAATTTGATAAAAAACATTTTGGATATTTGCTGTTTGTTTACTCGTTAGAGCAGTCTACTAATCAGTTAATATAATGTTTAGTAATATCTGAAAAACAAAACTATCAAAAAAAAGTTTTCTAGAGTTCAGTTTATGGGAATTATTTGAGTAGTTGAAAACGTTGCTAATTATTAGATAATTTTTATCAATTAATCTTAACTTAAGTATATAAGTAGTATAAGATTCTTAAGTATAATATATATGGCTACATTACAGGTATTAATACCTATTGCTTAATCTTTAATATATTACTTTAATGAAATTGAAAATATATTAAATCTAAAATAATTAGATACTAAAGAGTATATTAATACTAAGCCTTCACTTTTGTGGTATTATTTGATAAGTAATAATTTGTTCAGTATACATTTGTTTATTATATATACCGTATTCATATACTTGTTTTATTAGAAAGCCCTCAAATGAACATAATCATTATTACAAGCATTTTATTCCCATTACTTATAATTATTCTCTAAAGTTAGTAAAATTAAGTCTAATTAAGTTTACACATATTTGAATTTATTCTCACTTTAAAGCTATTTAAAGCATAATTTTTAAAATAATCTCAACAATTTTTATTTACTCTGTAAATACAAAATAATAATTTAATACAATATTCTTGAAAATTAAATTATGTTGCAGAGGTTTATGTCTTATTTAAAATTGATTTTGAGTACATAAGCAAATCGTAGAGTTTCAGGGTTTACGAAAGGAAAGGTGACTATAGTCTCGCTGTCAGTCCCGGACTTGAATTTCAAATCACCGGTCGCTCCCAGAAGTTGTATCGACTGAACAGTTTTAAAGTCAACGGATCCCAACTCCAGCTCATAATTCTTGGGCCAAAACAATACAATCGAGTAAACAGTTTTGTCTTTCTTTGTATACCTTTTAAAGAAATAATCATTAAATAAATAATTTAATAAAACATAAAAATCATAATTAAATGCAATATTTACCAGACTTTCTCAGTGATGGTATCATTTTGATGAGTCCACGGATTTGATTCATAAATCGCTTCTCCATTAATCGAAAGCCATGAACCGATTTCTCGCAACATTTCTTCAAACAAAGGTATTATCCTTCCGTCAGGTGTCGGACAGATGTTTATCAGTATATTTCCGCCACAACTGATTCATTTAAACCATATATAATAAAATCACTCATAAATTGCATATTATATAATAGTTTATTACCTAATGGTTTGTGCCATTTGTGAGATGAGCTCATATGTGGTCATATAATCTTTGAACCCAAACATCTTGGTATAACTCCATCCCCCGTGATCTACGGACAGTGCGTTTTCCCATTTGTGGGGCTGAACCACATCTGGAAGGAACCGGTCTTTACAGTTATAAAAGCCACCATGCTTACATTCTGTCCAACCGCCTAACATATGAGTGACAAAATGAAATCATTTCAATTACTCATACAGTTATTCGTGTGTACAGTAAACCATTACCCCATCTGTCATTCACTATCACCTCATCCTTTACTGGACTATAAATATAAATCAATAGATAGTTAATTGTCTGTTAAATATACAAATAACTTAAGCAACAGTACCTATCGTTATATAGCCAGGCCAAAAATTCAGTGCTATTCCAGTAAGTATCAGGTGCGCCATCAAAGGTACCGTCAGACCAGATTATGTCCGGTTTATATAGATTCACGAGTTCTACCATTTCTGGACTGATCTTATTCTGTTAATTATTAATGTTTATTCAATAATTAGTTAAGAAATTAGTATTTATTAACATTCATTGTATGGATATTTAGCACATACTCTCACAAACTCATTGGTTAGCCATTTGTTTCCCTTGTCTTTGAGATATAAGGGATGAAACCATTCAGCGAGTGAGTGATATGTACCGAACCGGAGACCCTGTTTACGTACAGCCGTTGATAGTTCACCTCAAATGTTAAATAATTGGCATTGTGCGGTTAAATATTACAAATGTATTTAAATCATTGACAACCACCAGGTCATACCTACTAAATCCCGGTGTGATCCGAGATCCATAGCATTCCAGCCCCACGAGTAGTTTGAGGGCCACAATGTGAAACCCTCGTGATGTTTAGTGGTTAACACGAAATACTTAGCACCCGATGCCCTATCCATTCATTACAATCGTTTAATTGATAAGTTTACTGAAGATTTCATTGAATGAGTAATACTTAAGAATTTCGGCCCATTTATTTGGGTCAAAGAATTCAGTGGTGAACCGATTGGCAAAGTCCTGGTAAGTGATCCCCGGTTTTTCATATTTACCAAAATAGTCCTGATATTCTTTTGCAACTTTCCATCGGTACCTATATATCAATGAATGTTTTCTATGTATTTAAATTTTTTAAAAAATTAATTATCACAAACCAAATCCATTCGCCTCCCATTCCGAGTACAGAATATACGCCCCAATGCATCATAATGCCAAACTTAGCTTGGTCATACCATGCGGGCAATGGACGAGAGTCCAGTGACTTCCAGTCCGGTGTATATTTGGGCGCCTCCTCACCACTGAAGCCATATATAAGGCTTAAAAATAGTGGAAATAAATATAATATTAGTTTATATGAAAGCATTTTCGCAAACACTTTAATGACAAAAGTTACTTTCAAATAATATTTCCTTTATTTTTATACAAAAAAGTTAGGATTAATTGAATTAATAGGAAATTAATGTCCTTAAGATTTCACCCGTGTGAAATAGATTTAATATTTTGTCGATTAAATAATAATAAAGTCTTCAAAAACACTTGTTGTCTATTGTAATACTGTGTTTTATTATTGATATTTTTATACATTAAATAATAATATATGATTAGATAAGAAAAAGATTTTAAACATAAACTATTAATTTTAGACTTATTCTAGTTGAATAAAATATGTTGTAAAATACAAATAAATACTTATGTATTTATTGATTATAATTTAGGTATGGTTGCACTCGAGTTTTATAATAAAAGCAAATAATTTTCTATTCAAATCATTATTATCAGTGATAGTTTGACTAAATTCATCTCATGATTACTTGCTACTTTATATAACTTATTATTTTTATAAAATAAAAGTTTAATTTTAATTAAATAATTAAATTATTAATAATGTTTTATTTTGTTGTTATTTTGAGCACCCAGGCCCATTTGGCAACGCTATCCGGAGTAATGTGTGGAAACGTAATGACTGTTGAGGTACCGGAGCCGGCAGTGAATTTCAATTCACCCTTTTCTCCCAATAACTCGACGGCACCGACAGTCGAGTGGTTGAGTGATCCCAGAGTCAGTTCATTACCTTTAGGCCAATACAACACTATTGAGTAAACAGTTTTGTCTTTCAGTGTATACCTGTCCACCAAATCAAAGATTTTTATAATCACATTAAATGTTTTTTTAATACATACCAAATATCTTTAGTTGTCGTATCGTTTTGGTGTTTCCAGGGTTTGCTTTCATAGATGGCCTCCCCATTCACGGACAGCCAGTGCCCCAAATCACGTAATCTGTCCTCAAATATCGGTTTAATAACGCCGTCGTGTGTCGGCCCGACGTTTATCAGGATATTTCCACCACAACTGAACAATAATTGAAAAATTAATTGAGTTGTAAAACTTTTTTGTCAATACCTTATAGTCTGAGCCATAGTAGTGAGCAATTGATGTGTAGTCAAGTAGTCCGAGAGTTGAGCATTACGTCTATAACCCCACGTATACTTGTCTATAGTCATGGCATTTTCCCACTTGTGCTTAAGTAAGACTCCCGGGTTATACCTGTCGGCATAGTTGAAGAAATCACCATGCTTGCCATTAGTCCCCTTTCCTATACAAATTATTATAATATAATATTATTAGTTAATTTATTTTCAAGTAGTTTATAAGCAATTAATTTACCCCATCGATCATTGACTACAATAGTATCCTTAACGGGGCTGATTAGCAATTAATTGAGTTACACATAATAATATATTAAATTTATACTTGGTAATAAACAATAATATGGTATTGTTTTATTAATACCTGTCGTTATACAGCCAGGCCAAAAATTGTTGAGTTTGCCAGTATTCCGGGGGAGCACCAGCATCACCATCAGACCAAATCACATCAGGTTTGTATGTTTTAACCAATTCCTCCAATTCTGGACGAGTTTTTGTCTAATAAATTGTTTATTTTATTTGTCGTTAAAATATATTAATTACGGGAAGTGTATGTGACCTCAACATATAATTATACAATTAGTCAATAACCTCCATCACATCAAAATAAATGAATCCAATGCTCACAAACGAAAGTGTTTTTTCAAGTGTTTACACTTTTAAACTATTATCTATTTAATTTGATTAAAACTCCTACTTGACAAATATAATACATGTAGCTTATGTTATCGCATACATACTTCTATACTTATATAAATTAAGAATAGATAAAAATTCAAATTTGTATTAAATGATTCTGTATAAGTATTACATTTTATATACTGTAGTATACAATTTTATAGAGATCACATACTTTAGTGAAGTCATTGGTCGTAAAATTGTTAGCTTGGTCCTTTAGGAAATAAGGATTAAACCATTCAAACAGTGAGTGATAAACACCGAAGTGAAGACCGGCCCCCTTCACGGCAATCGCCAAATCACCTCAAATTACATAACAATTATTACTATTAATTAAAACACAAATAAATACTAAATTATAAATATTTCACAAACCGACTAAATCCCGATTGGGTCCGACATCCATAGCATTCCAGTTATAGGACACCTTCGATGGCCATAATGTGAAGCCTTCGTGATGTTTGGTCGTCAGCACCACATACTTAGCACCCGATGCTCTGTATGAACACAATTATAAAGACTTTTTTAGTAATAATTGATAATACACTAAAAATAATAAGTAGTACTGACTTGAAAATATCAGCCCATTGTTTGGGGTCATAAAACTCAGCCGTGAACTGAGCGGCAAAATCGGCATAAGTAAAGCCCGGCCTATAGTTCTTTGCCATGAAGTCTACGATGTCTTTCCTTTTCACATCTTTCCAGTATTTCCTTCAATAAAACACGTGTTAAATATAATACAAGTAATTAATTATTTTGTATTAATAATAGCTATTTAATTATAATTAATCACATTATATTAATTACGTAAAATCTACAATTATATTTCAGTACCCGTAAGAGATACTTGTAACATGTATACCAGACCCCATATTTAACTCTGCTTTTTATTACTTTAATCACTTTACAAAGTGTTGTGTAGTGCTAACAAAACAGAGCTTAAATCCGTGGTTTGATATATTGCTGCAGGTTTAACAAATATAAAATTTTATTTAGTATGTATTTTAAATATTTCATTATAACGAAGTTATTGTAGAAATAATAAAATATGAGTAAATGCTAACCAAAACCATTCACTCCCAAAAGAGGGTACTGAGAAAACTCCCCAGTGTAGAAAGATACCGACTTTAGCCTGGTCATACCATGTGGGCAATGGTCTCTTGTCGAGCGACTCCCAGTCCGGGGTATACTTTTGCACCGTTAGGTGAGAGTCAACCGCAACGTATGCTAATAGTAAACAAATTAATGGTGAGAATAATGTCATGCCTTCTATGAGACTTAATTGTGTCCTAAATTAATTCTAGTGTTGCTTGGTGTTTTTATAGAAAAATGCATTTATTTTTCTATGAAAAATGTGATTTATTTATTAGTTTTTTAAGAAATTAGTAAATGTAAGCAAACCCATGTTATCACTCATAAGTTATCAGGCGAAAGTGCTTTAAAAATCAATCAAAGTCTAGTTAATCTTAATTTTTGTTTGTTTTTTGTGAACACATTTACTTTATATTTTATATGAATTGGGAACTATTGGGAAAATTATTAAATAATTTGTTATTTTAGTTTTATAAAAACAAGTAGTGGTTCTTTTGTTTAATAGTAATAATAATCATTTTACTTTATTTAAGTAAATATATAAGTAGTAATAAATTAATATTAATTATACACAAATCACTTGTTTATGAATAATTTGTGTGAAAAATGATGTTCATGCATTTTTTAAAAATTGATGCTTAAATTAAATATTTTATTTATGATTAGTTTTCGATTAAGTTAATATTAAGCTAAATTAAACAGATAATTAGTATACTATCAAATTCTATCAAAAAATGAAATTTTTATTTTCGCTTATTTTTACATGATAAAATATATTTATAAAATACAAAATTAATGAATATTATAATATTTTTAAAAATTCACTTATTTTTAAAATTTCACATGCGCCACAAAAATTACCAAACTTATATTATAAATCTTATCAAATATGCTTTATTTATTGTCTATGCATCAGGTACATGGCAATTAGCACTTAAGTAACTGCAGTACATAGTTCAAAGGGTATGATTTATTTATATCTAATATATGACACAATTTGATAGATTATATAATAATGATAACATATTGTGTTAATCAGGTTATATATCTGTTAATGTAAGACAACACAAACTTTCACATTCCTATCATTAAAATCCTATTTAATACAGTATTTATAATTCTAATTTAAAACGAACAAGTTTCTTTATAAAAAATTAAAGACTTTTAAATTTTATTCTATAATAATATCGTAGTATTGTTTTATTTAATGGTTATTTTGAGCACCCAGGTCCATTTGGCAACGCTATCCGGAGTAATGTGTGGAAACGTAATGACTGTTGAGGTACCGGAGCCGGCAGTGAATTTCAATTCACCCTTTTCTCCCAATAACTCGACGGCACCGACAGTCGAGTGATCGAGTGATCCCAGAGTCAGTTCATTACCTTTAGGCC